CTCCCCTTTTCACCCAGCCCCCTCCCCAAAAACCCCACACCGAGTTTAACTAATTTACATACCATTTGACTTCAGTGGTTATACAGTGCATTACTAGTAACATGCAACTTTGGGATTACCGCTAAACCCATAAAAGTGCACTCCAGTAATCTATTACTCAAAACTGAAATATATAAACATGGGATAGCAAAAATAAACAAGCATTTTGACAGATTAAAACATACATTTTTTTTTTTTAAAAAGGAATTATATATCATGAGCATCTGCTTCCCAAACACGGTCTTCCATGGTTGGATCATGCCATTTAATTTGTCTTTCCTATTTAGATGCAAAGGAAGTAAATTCCAAAACTGACATACCATAAACACTGGTGCTACTGATCATTTCTTGCTGGCAGCACAAAAAGCTGAATTGGATTTCTCACAAGCAGGAATTCCAAAGGTTGCTTTTCATTAAAGCCACTTTTCCTCTCAGCTATCAAATGTCACTGCCTTGAAACGTGGGCCCTTTCGTCAGGTATTCATTTAACCTACATGCATATAATTAAGGGGGAAAGCAACATCAACAAAAAGGGGATCTCAGATCACAGGAGAAGAAAGGGGAAAAAAGCACATGACCAGGAATGCAAGTCCATGTCAATTTCACTCACTCCCATTGAAACTAACAAGAGCTCCGGGAGGACGGTAATAGGATCAGTGGATTGTATATACCATTAAATTATACATCTTTCTCTCCCGTCCCCGGCCAACAATACGCCCACCACGCTGTACCCCCTCCAAGATGATGTGCTTACATTTTTCTGCAACCGATCTCCTGACATTATCACGTCCCCCCAGCCACGAGATGGTCATTTAACCTCAACTTTCTGCGTGTGCAACATTCTTATTTACACTTCTTATTTACTTAGAAGTTAGTTCCCGAAGAAAGTCTAGCCCCACCCTATGGCTCCGCTTTCTCCTTCTTATTTTTTTTTTTTTGTATTTATTTTTGAAGTAAAAAGATAGTAATAAGTAAGCACAAGATTGCGGAAAACGAGATTCTTGCCATCGCGAACTCTTAATCCCCCACTATTGTTACAATGATTAAGCAGCAAAAACATGCATCCCAACGTTTCAGGGCTACTTTGTACAGAGAAATTAGACAGCAGGTTGGCGTGCTGAATAGAAGCGAGTGCACATGCAATTAAATGTTCGCGACACCACTCGAAGGTCTCCTTCTATTCCCGGTCTTGGATTTATTTATATTCTTTTAAAATAAAACAAACAAAAAAACAAAAACACACAACACACACATTTAAACAGCTGGTCGCAAACTACGAAGCTCCTCTTACCTGCACGCGCGGAGCGAAAAGCCGATAGGTTAGCGTCGCATCGATCCGCTGTGTTTGCTGATGAATGGGAGCGAGGGTTAAGTGAAGGTGCCGATGATTTGAAATCATTCCAAGTTTTTGAAGGGAAGACGGACTGCAGCCTCTGCCATGTTGGAATTTCAAACCCAAAACAGCTGCTTGCGAGGAGCCAGCATGCCAGAGGCTGGGCGCAGGCGCAGAGCGCCGCCGAGCCAAATTCAAATCACTTTCACACTGAGAGCCAAAGATCAGTTTTCAAAGGCGAGAGGGAGGCAGGCGCGGCGGCGGCGGAGCGGGCGAGGAGAC